GCACCCTCAGCCCCTGTGTGCAAAGGCAAGTTTCCCGAGCTTTGCTTTTTTGGGGGCAAGGGGGAGTATTTTACATGTGCTACTGATCTTTTTTGCATCTTGGTGATTTCCTGTTTTCCAACACATCTTAAAAAATCTGCACATTTTAGGCTGTGTTTTAGAGCTGAAAATGCCAAGCGAGGTCTTGAAAATAATGCCCCTTCCCCAACAAACCAAAAACGAAGCAAAGCAAAAACTTTTGCATCAAAGTTATCTCCTATCAACTAATCAGTCTGTTTTGTCAGAGATACCTGTACTATGTTCGTTGTCCCTTTTCCCCCAAGGATTTCACAACGTAATAACATTTGCAGCTTATTTTATTTCCAAAACTAGTGCAGCTTTTTTGAAGTTTTGCAGATTGTTTGCTTGAGCTCCTGTAGTATAAACTGTATTTTCTTCCTTTTTCTTTTAAAAAATCTGAGTGCTCGAAGGGAGATTTATATGTGCCATGAAACGCTTTCTGTGTGTATAAATAAATAAAAAGGTGTACAGAAAATGTTCATCTTTCAATTTAAAAACAGAAAATACTCTAAATGAAAGCCTCCAGATATCAGAGGGTATTGTCAGCATTTCATAAAACTGCTGATCTGTCGTGTGGGAGAAGAAAGAAGATACAGTTATGGTGCATGGTGAGGACAGTGGAAGTGCTTTTCCATCCATTTATAAATGGGTGTTAAACAGTATTATGTGGAGAAGACTATTTTAAGTCTCCAGATTTGAGTAAACTTCATCCAAGAAAGAACTGGATGAGCAGATTTTGAGTATTGTGCTGTTTACACCTTAATGTTCGGAACTGGAGCAGGGAGGAAGCTCCAGGTGACTGAAAAGGTGATAGTTATTTTATCTGTGTTCAGAAAATCTGAGTACTCGGTTAGTGGAACTGGTTTGATCCCCAGTTAAAAACAAGCAAACAAAACCTGACTGAGCTCAGTCCTAGATTAAAAAAGAACAGCTTAAAAAAAAAAAAAAAAAAGAAGAAAATACTGTTTAAAAAAAGAGTTAAGGATAGGAATTTTAAAAGTTGGAGAAAAGCTGTGGGAAATAGATTGCATCAAGCAAAATAGATTTTACACTCTGATAAAACTACAGATTCGGTTGAGAAAGGAGAATGCTTGATTTGCTTTGTACATGACGTTGATTTAAGAAAAAATACATGAAGACTGCGTTATACAATAATAACAATACCTACACTCCATGGTAAATGGATTAACTGGCGAACTTGCAACTTTTGTAGCTGTTGGTTACCACAGCATGGAAATATTTCTGTGGGTGTTCTGTATGGGCACAATTCAGTGTCTGGAAGCAGATGTTGAATTTCTGTGGATGACATGCAAGTTGGCAGGGGGCAGGGCAGTTTTGATGACAAGCTGGCCTCATGTGAATGAAATGTATTTTAATATGGCTAAATGCGAAATTATAAATAGAAGAATAAAGAACAGGCTCCGCGAGGTGGATTTGGAAGTCTAGCTAGACGGGTTAACCAATCTGACCCACGGCCACGGCATCTGTGGAGGCCTTGGCTGGATGAGTGGTGCTGGAATAAGTAGGAAACGACTCGACTTTGGTAACATTTGCAGGCTGGAGCGTTGTGCCGGCTGCGTTTTGAATGCAGAATCTGGTGAGGGCGCCCGTAAGAGCCACTGGTGTTCGTTCAGAGGTGACAGGCTCTTTGCTGGGCCTGTGGCCTAGGAGAAGGTCAGGGTATGACCCGCTGTACGGGAGGCGCCTCCTCAAGGGGAAAGTCCCCTGAACAGGGTAGCCTCAGTTAAACAAATGGGAACTAAACAGGGAGCAAAGAGGGGCTGAAGTTCACAATGTTCGGATGGGTAATTGCCCTCCCTGCTAAAATGCACTGTGGGATGTGATGAAATCTCCGATTCTTGGTGTCTCCAGCTCAGCAGGTCGGGGATGCCGGTGGGAACGCTGCCAGCTGCACCCTGCCGAGCTGCAGCAGGAGCAGCTCTGTGCTCAGCGCCCGTGCACCGCTGTGGCCCCCGGTCCCTGTCACTGCATCCCGGGGCAGCAACAGGTTTTTCTGACAACCTCCCGAAACTCAGGCCGCCCGTTTTGTATGACTGTGCTGGGAGCAGGAGGGAAAGTCGAGCTGCTTCGGGAGGCCGGACTCTGAAGCCCCTTGCTGGACAGGTCTGCCCAGATGAACCCCCCGTCGGCTCTGCAGCTTTGCAAGCCGCTTAGTGTTGCTGTGAAAAGTCATATTCAGCTCCAGTGCTAACGAGTTTCAGCCAAATCACTACGTGACATCTCCCCTTGTGCATCTTCCCTCGTTACTCGGGCTTTTTTGGTGGCGTCTTCCTTGATTTTTCCCCTTGCAGGAAGGGACAGAGCTAGCCAAGATACGTGGCTAACCCTGAGCTTGTGTTTACTAAAAGGTTTTAAGCACGTGCCAGTTGTGGCACTCCACGTGGTGCTTTTTTAAAAATATTTTTCCATCTTAAATGTGTTTTTCCTGGGATGGTCCAGGCTGGCAATGTCCTCCAGCCCGGCTGTAACGGGCCACGCTCCTCGGTCACGTTCCTGCCTTCCCAGACAAGTCCCCTCTTGCTGCCCGGCAGCGCTTGGGGAAGTTGGCTCCCTTCAGGTGTCCTGTGGGTGCCGTGGGCTCCCCCCTTGCAGTGGGAGCATCCTTCCCTAGTAAACCAGGAAAGAGCATCCCCTAGAGCACAGGAAAGACAATTAAGTTGTGAGGATCCCTCCTGGATTTCTATTTTATTCTCTTGGATTTTGCTCTTTTTTGAGCAGGAGCAGCTTTTTCTTTGTGGTCTAGTAGAACACAGCAGCTTCCTCTTAATTTCTCTCCGCAGATTCTATCTTCCCGCACATTAAGCATATCTGCCTAATCAGTCAGCCTCATTTACCCCTGTCAGTGGGGGAAGGGGCTTCTGACCTTTTCTGCTCGTCATCCTCGTCAGATTAGCAAGGAGGCTTTCTGCATGTTTGAGTATTTAAAGCATTCTCATTAAACCTAATCTCAAATCAGTATTTCTAAAGAAATTACCATCTTAATTGTACTTCTTGCAGTAGTGCTGCAAATACTATTTCCTGCCAATGCTTGTGCTTGAACAGATCTTGGTATCAGCCAAAAAGAGCAAAGGTGGTCAGGAATGAATAACTCTTTCAGGATTTCCAGGGCTTTTCAGGCTGTGCAAACCCAATCTAATGTCTGGGCATGGAAACACCCTTCTGCTTCCTGGTGAGTGTAGTGATCATTTCTGCCTGGGAGATGATTTAATGGGAAGCTAATTCTGAACAGCCCAGAATGCTTCGGGCATGAGCGGCAGTTTGCACATGTAGCAGGAATTAATTTTGTTACAGTAATTCTAGTTTTCTTATCAAGTTTCTGCTGCTTCCAGGACTGCAGGAGACTTTTGGTGCTTGTAGCTCTGTGCTTTGCATCACCGTTATGGTTAAAAGCACGTCGGCTCGGATCCAGGTCCTCGGAAGCGCTGATGTATCCCTCTTGATTTCCTTGGAAGCTGGGCACGTGCAAACCTGGGAGTCTGGGATCCAGATCTTTGCATGTTTTTTATGAGAGATGAGTGCCACGGACCGGCTTGAGTGAATGCCACCTTAGTGATGTTTCAGGCCCCTTGCCCTGTGCCTTTTTGCTGTTGCTTCCAGGTTATGTTTCTTTGTTCCCTTCCCTTCTTCTTCCCAGGAGACTGCCCTGCCAGTGGTGGTATTCTTGAGTAATTTCATGTAGTTTAAAAGCCCAGTTGCCTTTAATAGGATTGCCAAATGGGCAAGAGAAGAACACAGATATTCTCTGGCCTGCAACCATGTGAGAAAGCATTTCCTCTCCGTTTCATACCCAGACACCTCAGAGGTGATAGAATGGACCACTGATCATTCAACGTTTTTGTTTTTGTTACTCGATAGTGGGGCGAGTATTTATTAATAGAAATATTAGTAGACACTGAGATGAAGGGTTGGTTGTACTGTGTTTCTCTCCGCTTAGTGTTGTGACCAGAATGGTCACCACCGCTTGGGAATTTGCAGCTTAAATAGGAAAGGGAACCAGATGCAGAAAGGGGATGCAGCTTGTCCGGGGTTAGACAGCAGACCAGTGGCAGAAGGAGGAATAGGAGTTAGAGCTGCTAAAATTTTAACCTTCAATTTCTACTTCTATCTAAATCGCAGCAGTGGTTTTAGCCATAGTTTTGTATGTGTCTGAATATTACCGGGATTTTATTCCAGCTGTCGCTAGCAGGAAACTAGAGCAGTTCAGAGCTGGCGAGGGCAACGCCAAGTCTGCAGCAGCAGCAGCGGTTTGCAGGAGGAGCAGTCAAATCAGGATTTCACAGGAATGAGTGTGCCGGATGCAGGATGCCCAGGACACCTCAGGAATGCAACTTACTGCTAAGCTGAACATATCAAGTGTGAGGGAAGAGATTTC